TTAAACGCGAGTTCGAATTAATAGTTGATATCCTATTTTGAATGAATATCATTTTCGTCCAATTTTCAGTCCTTAACTCACATTAACTTGTCTCAAATGGGATGTGAGTGTGCGTGTGGAATGTGCGTATGGGTGTGGATGAAAAGAAAACACACACACACACCCATACCCGCAACTATAAAGTATATATAAGAAAGAAGAAAGTGGTACAGCAAAAAAGATATACATACGCCTGGAAAAAATAAGCTGTAGTCCATATTTTGAGCATATTGTTACCATAGCTGCGTATTTTTAAAAAAATAATGATATATTCTGAAAGTGCGTGGAGTTTTCTATCAGTCTCTTTATTTGTCTTTTCATTTGAATATATGTACTATGAAAAAAATTGAGGGTAATGAAGACATCCTTATGATGAAATTCCCACATCCTTGAATTTGTCGCTGTCATCAAACTTAGTTTTCAGAATTTTTCATCATTATAGGATTATCTTTTGAAAAAGGTAACTACATATTTCGGATAGAGCGTGAAATTCTCTACCGTACTATACACTTGCTTATTTCCTTATATTCATTTATCGAATAGAAAAGTTGAGTACAGTGAGCACATCTTCAATTGACAAATATCGAACGTGTGCAATATTCGTTGCCCCCGGAGTTCTTTTTTAAATTTATTATTCTTATGGAAAAAAATTATTTTTAACAAGCAATCACAGATTCTTATAGAGCTTGAAATTCTCTGTGATTCTGCATATTTGTCAACTATTTTGCAGTTATATGCTGCAGCACATTCAGTACATAATTGCAATACAAGAGGAAAATATATAGGATGAAAGACTACTTCAAGCTCTATTAGAATCTATAATCATGCTTTTATAAATGCATTTTTATAGTGACTAAATTTTGAAAAAAAGGGAAATCGTAGCGATATTCAGTACTTATCAATTGAAGGTGTGTTCACTGTACTCAACTTTTCTATTCGATAAATGAATATAAGGAAATAAGTAAGTGTATAGTACGGTAGAGAATTTTACGCTCTATCTGAAATATGTAATTACTTTTTTAAAAAGATAATCCTATAATGATGAAAACTTCTGAAAACTAAGTTTGATGATAGTGACAAATCAGGCATATGGGAATCTGGTCATAAGGATGTCTTCATTACCCTCAATTTTTTTTCATAATACATATATTCAAATGAAAAGACAAATAAAGAGACTGATAGAAAACTCAACGTGCTTTCAGAATATATCATTATTTTTTTAAAAATATGCAACTATGGTAACAATATACCCAAAATACAGACTACAGCTTATTTTTTCCAGGCGTGTATATACAGTATATATACAAGTGTCACATATAGAGGTACGACAGTTCGGAAAAAGTTCCGAACTGATGAGCTGTTCAAAAACTGAGCTGAGCTGAATTGAACTGTTCGAACAGTTCTTTTGAGATGAACTGAACTGTTCGAAAAGTTCTTTTGAGCTGAACTGAACTGTTCCAACAGTTCAGCTCAGTTCTCAGAACTGATCGAACCCTCAAGGCCTAACCGAGGGGCAACCCATAGGTTCTCATGGACTATTCTATGGGGGCAACATAGGTCCTCAAGGGCTATCCTATGAGGGTACTCATAGGTCCTCAAGGAGTATCCGAAAGGGTACACATAGTTCTTCAAGAGCTATCCTATGGGGTTACCCATAGGTTCCGAAAAGGCTATCCTATGGGAGTACCCATAGGTTCTCAAGTCCTACTGTTGAGGGATACCATTAGGTTCGGGCCAATCATAAGGTTCTCAAGGATGCTCTATCGATTGATATGTATATGTAGGGGTCTCCACCAACCGCATTACTGCGAATAAGAATCCTGCTATTTGATTGGTCCAAAAATAGACCAATCAGATTTCAGGAGCCCTTTTTTCTCTTATTGTCCGGAGAAGGCATAGCGATGTTCGAGCCAATCATAGGGTTATCAAGGATGCTCTATCAATTGATGGGTATATGTATTGGCTCCTAGTCAATTTAATACGGCGAAAATACTGCTTTGGCATTTGGCCTCGAGGACCCAAGGGTATCCTCGAATAATAAGACTTGAGAGTCAAAGGGTACCCCCTAACAAGGGGAGTTGAGGATACAAGGGTACCCTCCAATAGTAGGACTTGAGCGCTCAAGGGTACCCCCAATAATAGGGCTATGAAGACCCAAGGGTGTCATCGAATAACAGGACTTGAGGACCCAAGCGTACTTCCCTTTTATAGGACTTGAGGATCTATGGGTACTCTTATCGGATACACCTTGAGAACCTTTCAGTACCTAGATGGGATAGCCCTTGAGCACCTCTAAGTATCCCCATAGGATAGTCCTTGAGGACTTATGGGTCCCCCATAGGATAACCCTTTAGTACCTACGGGTACCTCTATCGGATAGCCCTTGAGAACCTATGGGATAAGTTCATAGAGCTGAGCTGTTTGAAAAGAACTGATCAAAAAGCTCAGTTCGTTAAAATGAACTGTTTAAACAGTTCAGTTCATATGAAAGGAACTGTTTGAAAAAGTTCAGTTCATTCAAAAGAAATGTTGAGGCAGTTCTTTAAATTTATTTGAACGGAGTTCGTGAACTGAGCTGGTCGACCCCTAGTCACATATACATACGAGTTTTTAGCCGTTCAATGTTTACATTAAATAGAGTCCTAGATGAAGAAGTGATACTTCGGGCAGTCTAAAAGAATTAGCAATCATACCTTATTATCATATAGCAAGCTCAAGAAGATTTTCTTTTGATATATAATGATAGTAAATACAATACTCTATCTTTCTGTAATTTTTGATAACTTTAAGCTAATATCATAATATTAAAATTTCGATAAGAATTTCTTTTGTGTAAAACTTTAATAAGAGGCGACAAAATAAACCACAAGATAGAGTGTGAAAAGCTTCACAATTTATATCAAACAGCCCTTTTTTACACTCTAAAAATCAGGTATTGTCGAAAACCTTTTCAAGTTTTCGAGTTTGTCACTATAAGAAACCTTTTAAGCATTTCCGAGGGTAAGAAATCAGGTTCCGAAACCTCAGAAACCTTTTCCCGTCGGTTTTCGAGAATATCTTTGTTTTTTAGAGTGTATATATGAAATAAGAAAAAAGGAAATTATCTTCGTATAGAAAACAAAAATGACTTTTCCGGACAGCAAAAATTGATCGGACAAAATTTTTCTTTTCTTTTTTGAAAGCAAGAGCTAGAAAATTAAAACAAAGTTTACTTTTTAAATTGTAGAGTGTTTCCTGCTTCATCTTCTAATGTATTTTGCTATTATTGGACAACCTTTATAGTATATCGTAGTTTCTTAAAAATCCAGTATGAGCAAGAACCCTTAATATCGCATGCTATATTCATTGAGCTCTACAATATGGTAAATTCTAGAACAGAAACGGAGAGTAACACATGAGAATGTTCTCTCGTAACTAGAACTTCGAGAAAATCCTATTGAAGGTAACAAATTTTTTCTTCAAAGATTTTCTTTTTTGATCAATTTACACATATCGCGCTTGGAAAAATAGTCTATGCTCGACTGCTATACTAATTATAATTCATTGCCTTCATAATTATTTGAACATGCCTAGCATATATTTGTCCAAGTTCTTAACGGTGTAATCTGTGACTTTTGTTCGAATTTAAACTTGTATGTAAAAGATCAATAATAGAGAGTAATAATATATATTGATTTGTCATACTACTCATCTATTCAATATGAGAAGCATGATTCGATCATTTTATCAATTTGAAAAGAAAACAATACCATTATTTATGAATCGATTGAAATATATATTAGTGTGGTAAGAGCTGCTGACGCATAAAAAACTGCATTATTACAATAATTTTATTCATGAAATAGTTGATGGTAAAAAAGTAATTTGAAATTGAAGAAGAACACAAAAACTATTATTCTCGAGTAAATAGCGACAACTATAAAATCAGGCGCTCTCGAATTGAAAAGATATTTTCTGTTTCAATGTAAAAAAAAAATAATAAATTCTCGCTCTTATCATCTCTTATTAGTGACAACAACCATAGTCGACAAAAAACTTTTCAGTTAACAGATGATGTAGTAGGATAACCAGGTTGAAGAATATATGTGAGTTCCATATTGCAGTTCGAAAAGAACTGCGCTAACAAGCTTTTTTGTTATTATTCTAATAAGTAACTTACCTCAAAAAAAATAAATAAATAAATGAAATATATGCATAAAATTTTTGTCCTCTAAACAGGTCGATTTGACTTGGTATTATGAATAAAACGCTTTTTGCATTTTTCATCGAATGATTCATTCTGTTTTCACCTTTTTAGCAAGATCAATTTATTCATTCATTACCATTCGTTATTTTGCCTATCTCTCTTTTTTTTCCCCCTTTTTTAATTTTTGTTTTGCTGTTCTCTACCAGTAAAGAATCTATATATAATGTAGAAAAACAGTTGCACACCATGAAATAATATATGAAACCATGTGCTTCAGCGATTTGCTCCTAATGAATCTCGCTTGTAAAATAAATAAAAGCATGTTTATACCTCACAGGTAATGAAGAAAGCAAGGACAACAGGAAAAAAATTAAGGTGCATTTTACTATGAAACGTATATGTTATATTTGCATATATAAATAAAAGGAAAAGAAATGACAAATTTTGATAATCATTTTGCAATATAACTCATTTTTCTGAAAGAAAAAGTATATTTTAGAAAATATCCAGTAAATTTAAATGGGAACATAATTTTTGGTCAGTAAAAAAATATACAAATTATCAGTGTAAATATTGAAATGATCAGTACTAAATTGGTCAATTTTTTTATATAGAAGCATCAGTAACAAATTCAAATTTGGTCAGTAAAAATTCAAATTTTATCAGTAGAAAAAAAAAGTTTTCTCGTACATAGATTAACTTAGTATAAGAAAAAGAAATTTAAAGAAAGATATGTGCGATAGTATTTTCCATTTCTCAGATCATTATCAATTAAATGCTTGTAACTACTCATGCTGCACGTAAAGGTAAACAAATACAGAAACTTTCACATTTATTGCATTCAAAACAAAGATCTTTAATTGAAATATTATTGTCTCTTGTTTACTTTGTTGGTGAGCCAGTTTGTCATGGCAAAAAAGAAAAGAAAAAGAAAATTAATTTGTCAAAATCAAATTTATCTTGTTCATCATCAAGTGCATCACCTTGTTCGTGTATAAATGGTTCGTGATGAATTGTCAATTTATTTTATTAAAACATCTGTTTTCTATTTGTTCCTTTTTCTCTATTAATTTCTCAACGTATAACATTATCTTATTCACTGTTTCTTTTTTTCTAGTCCAGCATATTGTATTTAAAGACTGATATGATTGCATTTGAACAAAATCTATCTGTATGGCATGAGTCACATTTCTTAATGTAAGACGTAATTCTCATCACTTATGATATCAATGTTTGTTCCATTGTCATTAGTGAAAACCAATTCGGTTTTTGTTAGTGAATCCCAAGGATATTCGTTCATTGGTGAAAGCCTTATTGGCGAAGTTCAGGAATTCCAGATTCGCAAATGATTTTAAAAGTGTTTCAAGAAAATCAGCAAAGATTTGCAACAGCCCAATAGCTTTCGATGTTAAACATAGCCGTCGATCACCTTAAGTAAGCATGAAACCAGTCATGATAGCTTGTCTCACCCTCTCAATTTTCAAAAATGGCAGTATTAACAAATCGGATATATCCATAAAACATGATTTTGCTTAATTTTTCTCTTTAGTAAAAGACAATATTCTTTTTTTTATTTTATTGACCTTAATATTTTCTTAGAATTTCAATAGACCATTATACAGAGTTAATCGAACTCTATGGAATACATAGAATTTCATAGTTGTTACAAGTATATTTTGAAATAGTATTGCTGGTTTCACTTCATATTATTCTTTGAAACAATATGGCTTTAAATAAAACCTCTGATATCATGTAATAAAAATAAGTACACCAAGATGTTTTATTATTGACAAACATAAGGATGAATGGGCTTTTGTTTCTGAAATGTGTCTTGACAGAAAAAGATAAAGAGATACTGACACCGAAAACAAATATTTAGTTGTATTATTATCACATTGAAGTCATTGATTCACCACTTTCACTCTTGAACGATGCTATTTGTTGTTGGTTTGATTTTGAATGTTATTATAATTGTGATAGACATGCACATTCACATCTCTACCCGTAGCTTCAGTCTTATAAAAAGCTGCTGTGCGCCTAAATTTCAACTACGATAGTATTTTATGTGAGGAACTTAGGAAAATGTTACAATAAAAAAGCAAAGTTTGCTACGAAACCATCAGTTGCTGAAGTATAAGAATTTGAATACTACATATTTCACGAGATACTTAGCAAGATTATTTAAAATATAAATATCACGCTTGTCACTTTCTAACTGGCATCCAAGCTTTTTACTGGTTCCATCCATTTGCAATGGCCTACCAGTGGCAAAAGCCAATTTTGACTTGGATGTTGACCAATCATATCATGAGGAAACCCAAGTTTGAAGTCATATGCTTTTTCTATTTCTTCTATTTCTTCTTTGGTCAAGCGAATCTTTAAAGCTTGGATATTATCTTGCAAATGTTCAATTTTTCGAATACCAATAATAGGAAATGTGTATGGTTGTTTTGCCATCACATAAGCCAAAGCTATTTGCGTTAGCGAGACATTTCTGCTCTTGCCAATTTTATTGAGCACAGCTGTTACAGCTTGATCTTCTTCAGACGGTCCTAGATTAAGTTCATAAAAATAAGTTCAATTGAGAAAATCGTAACATTTTTTAGCAACATGTACACTTTTAATTTCATGGGAACAAATTCGAGCTTTCATCATTTAAAGTCCTTTTCAAAGATATGATTACAAGCACCTCGAAAACTTCGGGTAGCACTTTCTCGAACTTTTTTAAAGCATTTTTAGATTACCAAACACTTATTTGACAGTGAATTAGAAATAGACACCTGGTAGTTCCTTCCAGAAAAAAAGGCAGCTTCTTATCATGGCATACTACATAGAAGACTAGATGTGGGTGTGTGGATATCTGTGCAGGCATAAACATAGACGACTTCAGGGTGAATATCGACGGGTGCGGCTGAATACTGGAGGATTACGATGTGTGGATCCACATGCACACCTACACATACACCACTTAGGATCTTCTTCTCGAAACTCGATATGTTAATAGGTTGGATAGAATACATTAGTAAAAGAGAATGAACATTACAATGATTGAAATGTGTACGAATGTCAGCCAAAATAATTCGTATACTAACATGTGTACTTGAGCTCTAAAGTAAAAGTTTTCCCATATAAACCTTTTCCTGCCTTTTTCTGATTCTTCATTCACTGTTTTGTACTGAACATTCGATATTATTTCTATAGTATTTACTAGTCAAGAAGATTGAAATTTTGATCTATTATCGAAAAAGAACTACTTTGAAGTCTGATGTAAAATACACTAACCTCAAACCCCCCCCCCCCCCCCACACCCTCCCCCCCCCCCACACCCACCCCCACCCCCCCATCCCCACCCCCACACCACCCACCCACCACCACATATCCACCCACACTCACACAGTCACTCCACTCTTCATACCGACACACGCACACCCATACCAACTCCCACACGCCCACACCACACAC